GGGACCCTTTTGGACCTCACTCTATGTACCTCTTCATCTGGCTCTTCATCTATATCCTGTATCATATCCTTTATTATATAATAAACCAGTAGATGTAAGTGTTTCTTTGAGTTCTGTGAGCCATTTTAGCAAATTATGGAACCCAAGGAGGAGTCAGAAGTACAGATGACACCCTGGGACTCATAATTGGCATCTGAAGTGGGGGCAGTCTTGTGGCACTGAACTCTTAACCTGTGGCATCTTAATCTGACCCTAACTGCAGGTAGATAGTGTCAGAACTGAATTGAATTGTAGGACACCCAGCTCGTGTCACCAAATTGCTTGATATGTGGAAAACCCACACATCTGGGTGTCAGAAGTGTTGTGAGTGTGATAGCAGTGTGAGAGTAAAGGAGAAACACACAGGAGTTTTTTTCCTATACAGGAGGTAAATGTATTTCACTTGTGGCACTACTCCCTATGCCCTCTGCACAACAGACGTTGCTCATTGAATCTTTTCCTGCTAAGTCTAGACCCAGCCTTGGAACCAGTCTTAGTTTTTGCCCTAGGTGACGACTACCTATTGAATGATTTGCACTTGTGTTGAAATCTATTTATTATCCATGTAGGTCTAATTTGTTCCTTTCACAGAAGGATCTGTGCTAAATGTTGTAGAAGAGACTGGTTAGATGTTCATCAAACCCACTTTTTATTCTTCCTACATCAAGGGGTAGACTATATTTCCAGCTTCCCTTCCAAATATGTGTGTCCACATAACTAACCAATAGAATGTGAGTACACCTGATGTGCACCATTTCTAGGTCTAGCCCTAAAAATATCCCATGTGCTCTCCTCCAATCTTTTTCTCATCCACTGATTTGATGCCTATGAGCACAGTGACTCTGTAAGCCACCTGATGAAGTTGGCAGCGTCAAAAGATGGCAGGAGTCTGAGTCTCTGAATCATCTTTTTGAAGAAAGCTACCTACCAACAATAAACACCTGTTTGGGCTTTAATTGAGCAAGAAATAAAGTTCTGTCATGTTCAGGCCATTAAAGTTTTTGAGTGTGTTCGTTACAAAAACTAGCGTTACGAATACAAGGGTCATGCGAGATCACATTCACCCGCATGCTCCAGAGTCAGAATTTGAACCTAAGTCTTTTAAAGTCCAAATTCTTCCCACTGTGCCAATCTTATTGATAATTAAAAAAATTATCCATGTTAATGATAAAGACCTTATTTCAGCCTAAATTTTCTCCAATTCTAACCCTGCCAAGTGTTGAGTTCATCTGCATCCAGTCTTCTTCCATGTCTAAAAAATCTCAGGTTTCTCCCTAGTGGTGCCTTCAGGACCAGACTTTCCCACCCATCTCATATGGCCTATAATTCCTGCTCAGGTGTGAAGCACAAAAGGTGACATCAAGTCAGGGTTTCTCAAGTGTGTCCTGGGGAACCATTTCTGTGGGATATAGGTAGGTTTGGTGCCTAAATATAATATTCTATGGTCAGGGACATTGGGGAAATTCTATATTAAATGAAGTGAGAAGGTGTCTAGGAATGTCTTTTAATAGGATAATATGCCCTGAGACTCTCCAAAATAGGGGTAAACTTGGTAGCATTTTGCAAAGTTATTTTATGATAGAGCCCCTTCCCAAAAAGCATCTCAAGAAACTGGTGTTCCATTGAACACATTTGGGAAACACAAACCTAAGTATATTGGGTCATACTCATAACTATCAGTACTTGAAGTTGAGTCTAGCACATCTTGGAATTTTGTCCCTCTGCCTAAGGAGACTTTGGTTCTGGTTGTGGTGTTCTGCATGTACTGCCTATTCCTGACATCTGACAAATGATTAGTGCTTGACCTTTGTCTGGTTTGGGTCACCAATCCTTTATCCTTTGGCTCTCTTCAAGACTTAACAACAGACTGTATTTTGTGGACTCAACCCTGTCACCTTTCGTCTATCTTGTTGCAGCCCTACCTTGACAGAACACAAATGTTCCCCTTTATTAGTTGAGTCTGTGTATTATAGTATTAATTCTTGATTCAGTCAAACACCCCACACAAAGACTGGGTGTGGGGTACTGTTAGTAACATAAAGAGACAACTCTTACTGGTCTAGTTAAATATCAATATCAATAAAATACAGTGGAGTTACATTATGTGGACATTTATATTATGTGAATGCAACTAGACACACTTAGCACTCTGGCCCCAGATTGTGAGAAAAAATAGTTTAAATGCAAGGCAGTTAGATTTTATGTCAGGGAATGCTATTACTGGAGGCGTCCCATAATTTAAAACTTGCATAATCCAAAATTAATTTTCCATAAAACTGACAAAAGAAGGCAGGTATTTCTTTGCTCTCTGAAGTGGCACCACCACAGGCTGTAGCAAAAACATAGTTTCCAATTCACCTGGCCTTCCAGCTTCAAAATTCTGCAATTGTTATTATAAATTTTTTTTTTGTATTTCTATTATTTCAAGTGCTGCCAATCTTGTGAGACTTTATTAATATTTTTATGTTGCATTCTTTCAAATCTGTATAACACTGATTTTATAAATTGCTACTGCATTGTAGTGTGGGTGCTTTTACCCACTATTCCACTCCATTTGTACAGGTGATTTAATCTGTTAGGAGATATGACTGCTATTTCTTTCCTGTGTGCCATTCATAGTAGAAAATATCACTGTCCTACAAATGCAAACCAACTATTTTATCTGGCGTCACCCAAAGAAACTGAAATCTATTGAATGTTGGAAAAATGGCTATAGTGAATTGAAAGTTATGTCACTCTCCAAAATGTCATGTAGTTTTAAGGAATTTTTCAAAGAAAATTTTGAATATACACAATTCTTCTCTTATGTGCTAAGTTTTGAACTTTACCTCCCACATAAGATTTGGCTCTACTTGAAGATAATGGGCATTATTTGTTGCCAACTGAGCATCCACTACTCCCTTCTTTCTTCCTAACAAAACCCTATTTTTTATTCTGGTATCTACCCCTCATATGACTAAAAGGAAGATCCTAATACAGTTCCAGGAGTAGATCTTGATTTGTCTAGGCTCATCACTGTTGTGCCACGCCCCCTCGCCATTGACTGGTCTCACGTGGATTGAGTAAATCAATTCTGACCTATGAGATACAAGATGAAGTTTGTTGAAGGGTTTCTGGAAAGATTTCCTTGCTTCTTAGAAAGCGACAGAGAGAGTAACAGTCCTTCTTCTTCCCAAGCACGTTTTTGGGTCTAGATGTATCTCCAATTGCCATCTTGCTACCAGTCCTCTGAGGATGTCAACATCAAGAGTGGAAGAGAGCAGAGAAGGATAAACTGTAGGTCCGTGAAGATATTGCTCAGTTTCCGAATCAACCAATCCCAAGTCTCCCCAACTTCTTCCTCTTAGATAATGTATTAGTCAGCTTGGGCTGCCATAACAAAATACCATAGACTGGGCGGCTTGAACAACAGAAATTTATTTCTCTCAGTTCCAGAGGCTGGGAAGTCCAAGATCAAGGTGCCAACTGATTTGGTTTCTGGTGATGACTCTCTTCCTGGCTTGCAGACAGCCTGCCTTCTCATTATCTTCACATGGCCTTTCCTCGGTGTGTGCATGAGGATAGAGAGCTCTCTTTCTCATTTTATAAGGCCACCAAACCTATTGGATTAGGATCCCACCCTTATGACCTTAATTATCTCCTAAAGGCCCTACCTCCAAATATAATTACATTGGGTGTTAGGGCTTCAACATATGGATTTTGGGGGGATACAATTCAGTCCATAGCAGATAACCTAACAAATGTCATCATGTTGTTTAAACAAGTTTAAATTGGTTTTTATATTATATATTACTGAATACACCCTAACAGGTATCATAACTTATGAAGCAATACACAAAGGATAACATCTAATTCATGACACATAACATGAGAAGATCAAGGGCAATTTTCCTTTTTTCAGAAAAAAGCAGTTGTAGAGTTAAAAATGGTTAGTCCATTGCTGTTACAGGGCATTTCATGAACTGCTGATTGTACATATATGTGGTATCATGTTAACATAAACAGTCTAGCCCTTAGGGAGTTTTAAGTTATAAAAGAAACATTTTTCTAAGATCATGTACTCTGATATAAAAACCATACTCCAGCCCAGTTCTATCATTATAAAGTTCTGGCAAGCCAAGAGACGTTAGTTGGTGATTTTATCAAGCAAGACTTCTAACTAATGGCTTGATGAAACCATCACTACACCATAAAACACCATAACAAATTGCAGTGACGATTCCTTTCAAGACTTTAGTCATTTTAGATCATTACAGTTCATTCCATGAAAAGCAGTATCTCGAGGATCACCACAATCCTACAAAACAGAATACAGTTTTTACCTTTATGCCTATTTATTCTTGCAATTCAAATCTAATTTTATAACTATCTTCAACAAAAAGGGTGGAGTGTAGATTTTATCCCATTTTAGTAAAGCTTTTATGAAACATTTTACCTATCATTTTAGTTACAGTGTATACAAAGCAATTTTATGTAGTCTTACAGATGAAAATTAAATAAATAAAATTATATTGAAGTGATGGATTTTCATAACATAGTAAAATTCACTTTTTATTTCTAGCCTGGGAAGTGGAAAGAGCAGCACTTATCAAATTTTAAAAATAAAACAAACCAGACAAAAAACAAACTCTACCAAGAAATAAATGATGAGAGAGACATTTGCATATATATGGATCCATACTAAAGCAATAGAACTTGGGCGATTTTGAAATCTTAAACCTTCTGACACCATTTTCATAAACTCAGTAATACAAACCATGTGGCGAATGATTTTCTGAAAACCTTTGCTGGTTTCACTGTGTATTTTATTATTGGCCAAATGTGACATTAAATTTTATCCCCTGTGGCTTGGAGTTAAATGCTTGCTCTGTTCAGAATGGCAACACTCAATTAAACAGCACTTTTCATGATCTACACCCACCATTGTTACTGTATTTAAGGGAAATAATGGGGGTACTGACCTATATTGCGTTTCTTATTATCAATGGAGATGAAGCGTATGCAGGGATTACTGGTGATGTACTGCCCAGCCCAAGGGACATCAATCTTCGTGCCAGCTTCATAAAAGAGGCCCAGAGCATAGCGAGCGGAGTAGCTCACAGACTCCAGTTGCTGCCTTTGGCGTTCACTAATTACTGTGAAAGAAAAAGTACAGGGCATCAAACTTGAAAATATCATCTTTCCTTTCAGTACATCAAATACAAAACTCCTTTAAACTAGTTCCAACTATTTCCACCAACTCCATCTCACTTACGATGAATTTTGAAAGGTAATGTAAAATAGCATCAGCTCTAATTTCTTTTCAGAACGATTATTGATCTTGGCATAATTGTTTTTATCGAGCTGAAGATTCAAACTCTTTAGGCTGGCATTCAAGGTTCTCAAAAATCTGGTGCCAAGTTGCTTTTCTAGCTTTGTATCCTAGTTATTATCCTGGGACTGTCTGGCAACATTATAGGCTCCATAAACTGAGCACTTACTACGAGTCAGGGTCTTCTACAACTACTTGACAGCAGTATTTCACCCTATCTTAACAACCGCCATATAAGGTAGAATATTACTCCCATGCTACAGGGTAGGAGACTGATGCTCCATCCCTTATGGACCTCTTAAATTCTTCCATGTCATATAGTGATTTGTTTGCCTGTCATCTTTCTGTCAGAGGATTAAAATAGTTTCTTAAGCACAGGGACCACATTTTAGTCATCTTTCTTATAGGTCTCTACCCTACTCATGACAGGCATACCAAGGATGAAAGTATAAACGGATACAAAGGCAAACACAGACACACAAAGTTAGTTAAAATGTAGGAGGTAAATAATCAATCAACAAATGGAAAAAGATTGGGAAAGGAATTAGGCAGGTATGAGTTCAAATCCTGTCTCTGCCACGTACCAGGTATGTGACATTGGTCAGGCTATTTAATTATTCTAATTATAATCCTCTTATCTATAAGTGGCAATAATAGTACAGAGTGCATTAGTCTGCTGTGAGGATTACATGAAATAATGCATAGCACAGTGCTTGGCATATGATAAGTGTTCATTAAATAGTCACTTTTTCTATTATAGAGAAGAAAATATTTAGGAAAATGGGACAATGTTCTATCCCATGGGATAGAGAAGGAAGAGATTTCCCTTACTTTTTAATCTCCATCTCCAATCTTCCTACTCTTAAAGGTCTCAGGGAGCTGCCTGTTTATATATGTACAGCATGAATAATTTGAGTTTCAGAGAAGGCCATAGTTTTATTCTGAAGGCCTAGGCAGGCCAGTTCAGAAATGGAACAAATGAAAAATTCTATTTAATTAGTGAAAAATATCCTAATCTAAAGCAGTAAGGATATGCAGACCTCAAGGATGGGAGGAAACTTTAGCTAAACCTTAGAGAAGTGGTTTTAGGAGGTAGAGAGAAGGCAAGAAGGGTATACAATGAATTATTTAATCACAGTACTAATCCTATACATTATCATAGCATATTCCTGGCTAAAAAAGAATTTTAGAACTAAGACCTCATCTAATCTTCAGAAAAGCCCTGCAAGATAGATGTTTTTACCATCCTCATTTTACATCCCTAGGAAGCTGAGATTCAGAGAGGTTAAGTAACTTGCCCTAGGTTAAACAGTTTCCAAGTCATGCAGTCAAGATAAAGCCAGAATTCCCACACTGGAGTCATTCATACACCCTCACTACTCCATACTTGCCCTTCCTAATCTGTAAGTCTGAGCTTCAAAATGAACATTGCTTTCTCCTCTGACATTAACAGTTATTTCTCACTCAGAAGTAAAAGGCATCATTCCCTTTAACCATCATTTTCTGCCTTATTAAAAGATTTAACTACTTGATGAAGAAATGATCTTCTGACACTGGCCTCGTTACACTCAGTGTATCTTGGGCTTCATTTTACTATTTAATCTACTTTTAAAGTTATGCCGGGGCCGGCCCCGTGGCTTAGCAGTTAAGTGCGCGCGCTCTGCTACTGGCAGCCTGGGTTCAGGATCCCGGGCGCGCACCAACCCGCCGCTTGTCCCGCTATGCTGAGGCAGTATCCCACATACAGCAACTAGAAGGATGTGCAACTATGACATGCAACTATCTACTGGGGGTTTGGGGAGAAAAAGGAGGAGGACTGGCAGTAGATGTGAGCTCAGGGCCGGTCTTCCTTAGCAAAAAGAGGAGGATTGGCATGGATGTTAGCTCAGGGCTGATCTTCCTCAAAAAAAAAAAAGTTATGGCTGCATGCTATGTTTACTGCTTTCTGAGAGGGAGGAGGTGAAGGAGGCTAATACTAGCAATTGAGCATGTATTGTGTACTCTGGGTCTTATCATGAAGTTTCCCATTTTTTCAACTAAAAAACAAACCAACAAAATTTCATAGTCAGCTATTTAGTGACTAATAGGGCCCAAAACTCTCTCCTTTTTTTTTTTTAACCAAAACCAAAAGGTCAACTAGGTTGACAACCAAACTGGACCTTTTACCTTCCTCTCCCCCTCACACACATCTGCACATTTAGTTAGTTTTGAGACAAGCTGCCAAGCTGTAAATCCCACTGGGTGGCCCTTTGAAAAGGTAATTGATATCTATATAGAATGAGAAATTAACCTTAAACACCTTTGCTTGCTCCAGGAGCTCCACATTTCATCCTGAGAATAGGGAGGTAAGACTTCTGACTGAAACAATCTCAATTTCTAGACATATTCACTAACAAAAAATTCATCTTCTGAAAAGTTTTTGATTGTTGCAGGACCTAACAAAATGGTCTTATTTTGTTTGAGAATTTTTCTTATGCAAAATACTGATGTAAGCAGCCCTAGGTCCCCAATATATATATTTTTGGCAAGAAAAATGATAGGTTCTTTACGATATCATGTATTCAAAAGGGTCATATATCAACAAAACAAGGCTCATATAAAAATACCTATAATGAATATAATTAATCTTTACCTGGATGTCATCCTCATTTAATTCTGAACCACTAGGATTATAAAATCTCAGTAATTATACACACATATACAGCTCTTCCTTGATTTACCATGGGGTTACGTCCCAATAAACCCGTCCTAAGTTGAAAATATTTTAAGTCGAAAATGCATTTAATACACCTAACCTACCAAACATAATAGCTTAGCCTAGCCTACATTAAATATGCTCAGAACACTTACATTAGCCTACAGTTGGGCAAAATCACCTAACGCAAAGCCTATTTTATAATAAAGTGTTGAATATCTCATGTAATTTATTGAATACTGTACTGAAAGTGACAAACAGAATTGTTGTATGGGTACAGAATGGTTATAAGTGTATTGGTTGTTCACCTTTGTGATCACGTGGCTGACTGGGAGCTGTGGCTCCCTGCCACTACCCAGCTTCACAAGAGTATCGTACCACATATTGCTACCCTGGAAAAAGATCAAAATTCAAAGTATGGTTTCTACTGAACACGTATAACTTTTGCACCATTGTAAAGTTGAAAAATTATAAGTCAAACCATCCTTAAGTCAGGGACTGTCTGCATATAGAATATATTTTATGACTATGATGTGAGTAAAGTGGCTATAAATTGCATTGAACAGGGTAGTTTACGTTCATACTTTCTTTTTTTTTTTTTTTAAATTTTTTATTTTTTCCCCCAAAGCCCCAGTAGATAGTTGTATGTCATAGTTGCATATACTTTCTTCAACAAGGAGAACTGTTCTTATTCCATTCTCCTTGTGCCTATGCCTGTGTGTGCATGTACGTGTGTATATGTGGGTAGGGCGTAGGTGAAGGACAGAGGGACAAAGAGAGAGTGGGGGAGCGGGAGAGAGAAACAGAAGACCTGGGCTGTACTCCCGAATAACATCAAGAAAGTAATTTCATTTTTTTGTTTCCTAATGTAATTTCATTCTTTTAGTTTCCCAACCGATAAAAGAAGGCTAAACATACATATTCTGCCTGTTTTCTATGTTTTTGGTGATGATCTCATCCATTCATTCATTGCCTACTTTATGCCAGGTACTATTCTAGATGTTAGGGATATAAGGCAGAAAGATTAAGTTCCTGCTCTCATGTAGCTTACATACTAGTGGTGGAGAGACCAATTATAAATAAACAACCAAGTAAATGGTATGCCGATTGCTGATAAGAACCATAAAGAAAAATATAGCAGGGTGCAGGGATAAAGGTGACAGGTGTGGGTAGTGAGGCTATTTTATGCAGGCTGTCAGGGGTATAGGTCTCCTCTGAGGATTTTATTCTGATTAACATGGGAAGTTACTACAGGTTGTGAGCCAAGGACAGATATGACCTGGCTTCTGTTGTAAAAATTATCATTCTGACTATAGGTGAAGAGTGTAGGGATGCAAGAGAAGAACTGGGGTAAACAGCTATTGCAATAGACCTGGATTGGAGATAGCAGTAGAGAAGCTCAGGAGTGATTACATTTTGGATGGAATATATATGTGTGCATGTGTGTGTGTGTGTGTGTGTGTGTGTGTGTATATATGTATGCATAAATAAATACATTTACATTATTTTATATATATGTGTGTGTGCGTTTATGTGTATATATGTATGTCACATACACACACATCCATCTATAAAAATTTATATATTTACATAATGTAAATTTTAATTGAAGTTTAGCACACATACAGAAAAGTACGCCTTGATGAATTTTCGTAAAGTGAGCACACCAGTATAATCAGCAGCCAGATTAAGAAACAAAACATTACTAGAACCCCAGAAGCTACCTTCTCTCCACCACTCCCTTGTCAGGCACTCCCTGCCAAGGGTAATCAGTAATTCTCACACCATAGATTAGCTTAGCTGTTTTTGAACTTCACATAAATAGAACAATGCAGTATGTACTCTTCGTGTCTGGCTTCTTTCACTCAAATTATGCTTGTGATATTTATAAATGTTGTTACATGCAGTTGTAGTTAATTCTCATTGAGGGATAGTATTGTATATACTACAATATGTATATACTATACTAGTATAAATATATACTACACTATTTTTCCATTCTACCGTTGATGGACATTTGGATTGTTTGTAGTTTTTGGTGATTACAAATGTAATGTGAAGAACATACGTATGTGTTTCTCTTGGCTATATACCTAGTACTGGAATTTCTGGATCATGGGGTTTCCTTA